AATTGTCTCCTGCAAACTCCACTCCCCTGTCGCTCCTCTTTTATTTCCTCTGGGAGGGGCCATTCACCGTCCGTCCACCTGTGGCCTTACTCCCAAGTCAACCCGTTCTTTAGCTCTTCCCTTCGCCTGGCAACTCTGCGCATGCGCCCACTGGGAACAGGCTCCAGCTGTTCTTCTGCCTCACTGACGTCCAACTCCAAAGGCAGCTGATAACTGTCAGACGGCCCTGGCCCCCTTTCTGCCTCCGACACAGAGCCTTCATCAGAGTCTTCCCCGGACTCCAGGACTGGCTCAGGTTCCTCCCCAACCCTCCTCACTGTCCGAATCTGCTGGCCACTGGGGGGCCACAACACAAAGCTAGTCTTTTCTATAAGCCAAGCGAGATCTTTATCCCTAACGAGAAGCTTCATTTCACGGAATTCAAGGGGGGAAATTGGCTCTTTGGCCCAATCCTGCCTGGAGGGAAGAGTGGGACTCAGCTATCAGCTCTTTGGGACGGCATCCAGAACTCTTTTACCAACATGGGCTAAAGCAGTGGTTCCCAAACTTGGCAACTTTAAGACTTGTGGACTTCAACTCCCAGAATTCTCCAGCTGAACTGAACCGAAAATGGCTAGTTTAGAAACCCCGCCAGGCTCCATCACCTTCTTCATGTTTGCCCCGAGTTTTGGGTATGGGGGTCTGTTGACTTTGTTCCAGTCAACGGGAACTTTGATCTTCTCGTAGAGCTGTAAAATCACCAGGGCATCTTGGAGGTCACTGGAAGAGAAAAGAGAAATCTGCTCGCTGAGAAGTTCAGTTTTCCGAAAGAGACCCGAGGACGGAAGATGGGATCCTGGCCACGTCAACTAGGCCTCCGGAAGAGAAGCCAGACGCACCCGTAGAGATGATTGACGTGTGGGTTTACACCGAGAGAATTCATCCAGTTGCGGAAGGTCCGTTCTTCGCGAGTTTCACCTAAGTTACAAAGAGATGCTGTTGAAGGCGCCTGCCTTTGCTACTCTACGCATAGACAACACCACAGAGACAAAATTAAAGCACATGACCTCAAAATGCTAAGAGACAAGAGAGCAGAAGAAATCTTCAGTACACAGAGATGCAAAGATAGCTTCCTTCCTTCTTGCATTCTTTCCTTCCATTCCTCTCTCCCTTCTTCCTTCTTTCCTTTCCTTTCTTCGTCCCTCCCTTTGCTTCCCTCCCTTCTTCCTTCCTTCCACCCTCCCTTCTTCCTTCCTTTCTTCCTTTCCTCCTCCCTCCCTTCCTTTCCTTCCCCTTTTCCTTCCTTCCTTTCCTTTCTTCCTTTCCTCTTCTCTCCCTTCCTTCCTTTCCTTCCTTTTCCTTTCTTCCTTTCCTCCTCCCTCCCTTCCTTCCTTTCCTTCCCTTTTTCCTTCCTTCCTTCCTTTCCTTTCTTCCTTTCCTCCTCCCTCCCTTCCTTCCGAGGTGGTGCAGTGGTTAAATGCAGCACTGCAGGCTACTTCAGCTGAGTGCAGTTCTGCAGTTCGGCTGTTCAAATCTCACCGGCTCAGGGTTGACTCAGCCTNCAGAATGTTTCCTTCCTGCCTTCCTTACAGGATTAGCCCTGGAAAGTGGGGAAAAAACAAAAGGAGATTTCTTCCAACAACCGATTCTCTGAACTGCTTAGAAAGTTAACAACCGGTTCTCCCGAATAGGTGCAAGCTGGCTGAACCCCACCACTGATACCACCCATTTTAAATGGGGGTATGCCCCAGTACTGGCATACCATTACCGTTTCGGTATGGTGCTCCAGAGGCCCCATCCACATGCCCGAGCATGTTGGAGCCCAGTCACTGGAGAAGAACTGGTCAGCTGGTGATGTGTCTGGTTGGCTTGGAGTAGTGCTCAAATTTGTAGTGTTTGGGGGTTTAGCAATAGCAATAAGACTTATATACCGCTTCATAGGGCTTTCAGCCCTCTCTAAGAGGTTTACAGAGTTAGCATATCGCCTCGGAAGGATGGAAGGCTGAGTCAACCTTGAGCCGGTGAGATTAGAACCGCTGAACTGCAGATAGCAGTCAGCTGAAGCAGCCTGCAGTACTGCACCCTAACCACTGCGCCACCTCGGCTCTTGTGCAAAGCACAACCAACATCTTTTTCTGCCAGCAGAGATACGAAACCGTTTTTACTGGTGGTGTCCGGGATAATATTTTTTTTTTCCAATAATGCCCGATTGCTTTGATTTCTGGAGACAAGGCCGCTCTCTGAAGATGGCCAGGAAAGTTATGACTGTAAATGAGCAAAAAAACCTCAGCATTGTTTTATTGCAAAACTCCTTTTACATGCTCAGTAAGCCTTTAAAAATCCAGCTGTTGGAATAGGGGGAATGGGGTGGAATGGGCCCGTTTGTAGGTTCTGCTCTAAGGATCAACATCTGTCCATTTCCTGATTGACTCACTCCAGCTGCTCCCGGTCCCAAGTGGTCACTCTTTGCGACAAGAAGATCTCAAATCACCCACCTTAAAGCTCTGGATGGAACTTGATTTCCCGGCTTCCTTTAAAGTTGTGTTCACCCAATTTACAATGATGTCGTCGTTGACTTTCTGACCATCTCCAAGGTCCTCCAGGACATTCAGAGTATATCTGGACAAAGGAGACGTAGAAAAGTTACCCGGGACCCAAAAACTGGGGGAAGTCTCGAAGAGAATGTCTAGGTGTGTTTAAACCCCTAGAAATGTAGGTTTTCCATGGAGGGTGTGAGCCTCAAATGACTTTGGACTAAGTGGTAGGGATGCGGGGATACCTTCTCATCAACTGCCAGACCAAAGCCAGGGTGAGGGTCGGGTTCCCGTCGTTGAGATCCTGTCCTCCAATGCCAACCAACGAAAACTTGGCGGGATGCTTTCCTAGATCAACCGCATAGTTGCAGTTTTCCAGCTGTTTGATGAGATAGGAGGAGATTGGAGGAGAGAGAAGGGGGAGAGGGAGAGAGAGAGAGATCACAGTTAAATCTTGGGTGGGGCCAGGAAGCGGCTTTAGTGGTCTNAAAAAGCACTGATGCCTCCATCCAAGGAAGAGACCTCTCTCAGCCCCCTCTCCAGAATACAAGTCTCACATTTCCCACCCAGCCACCATCAAGCTGAGATCATCTGGGGCAATACAAACACTTTTTAAACTTTCCAGATCTGAATTCCAGTGTTGGGTTCATCCCATTGGAAAGTTTAGAGCGCCCCCTAGTGGCACCGAGCAACTTTTCACCATGTTCGTTTTTTTCTTGAATTTACTGCGTTAAAATTCCTTTACTCGTGTATAACTGTAACTCCCTTCTGAAGGTTTGGATGTTTGGACTTTACTGTTGGGAAGGTTTTGTTAAGGTTCTTTGCCCCTTTAGGTGTTGAAACTAGGCATTCTGTGACTGAATCAGGGTTCGAGGCAAAACAGGTCATCACAAGCCTATCCCAGAGTGATTTAGCCAATAAATTTATTATTAGGCAAAAACCATAGTTTAGCTGGCTGTGTGAATGTTGACCGTGGTAGAAATGAAGAGGTGGTGAGGTTATTCACATTCTGTTTATATTAGGGGCGCCCAACCCCAGGAACATTAAAGGCCTGTAAACTTCAATTCCCAGAATTCCCCAGCAATGCAGGTTGGGGAATTCTGGGAATTGAAGTCCACAGGGCTTAAAGTTGCCAAGGTTGGACACCCCTCGTTTATATGACTAAAAGAAGATTTCAACCCACCGACTGACTGCCAGGAATATTAGCAGGAAGAAGCCAGGGGATATAGAAAATAGAAGTCTTCCAATATATGAGGGGCTGCCATAGAGAGGTGGGGAGTCAAGCTATTTCCCAAAGGACCCGAAGGCCAGACAAGGAAAAATGGATGGAAATTAACCAAGGAGGGATTCGACCTAGAATAAGGAGGAACTTTCTGACAGTGAGAACAATCAACCCATGGAACAGAAGTTGTGGAAGCTTCATCCCTGGAGGCTTTCAAGAAGAGACTGGACTGCGACCTGTCAGAAATGGTGTAGGGTCTTCTGCTTGGGGGTGGACTAGGTGACCTATAAGGTCCCTTCCAACTCTGTTAATGGAGAGATATAGCAATAGCAGTTAGACATATACCGCTTCATAGGGCTTTCAGCCCTCTCTAAGCAGGTTACAGAGAGTCAGCATATCGCCCCCACAGTCTGGGTCCTCATTT